AAGGGGGGACGGCAAGCTGAAGTTAAGAGGGTTGTATAAGGATTTGGAGAACATTTTCTCATCAAAGTGATCTAGTAATTGATCAACTCATTCAATTTATGTGAGTTCAAAGCTCATACGAGCGTCGATGGAGAAGTGGATCCTGATCTTATTCAAAGAATAAAAATAGGTATTTGCACAGATATATGGTGTTTGGGGTCCAGGATCATGTCAATGGTCACTAATTGAAGGGAATAAAGCCTATAAACGAAATCCCGATTTCTGTCAGTGCTTCATACTTCATAGCTTATTGCTATTATCGATTTTCAACTTTTGTTATGCTACATCTGGTCTGAGCCTTCTTCTCATTTGATAGTTTGTCTAATCTGACATGTTTTCTATAGGAAATGTTGTTTCATTAAAAGCATCAGAAGATAATCTTGTACTGTCTATCTGAATCCGGTACAATGTATAGTTGAAGGGAATGAAAACTACAAACCAAATGCATATTCATTTTGTATTAAGAGTGTAATTTTTTATGTATATGCTTGTGATCTTGGTTTAAATAGTTTAATTTTTTATGAACCCAAGAATGATGGGGTTATAATAATAGAATTTAATTTGGCTAGATGATATCTGATTGGTGGTTGAGGATTGGTTCTTTAGCAAGGTACAGAATGTATCAAATTTTAGAAATAGCCAAAAGAAATGATTTGATTATCTTATTTGTTGAATTGAGAGATCCATGAATTAGTATTATGATGTATATAAATACAAATAATTTCATTAAAGGACCTGAGAAATTGATATTGTAATATTTGTGGAATCATCAAATACTTGCTGTTCCCCAACTGGATCACATCTGAAACTAGCTGAAAGGAATTTAGCCTATGAACCAAATGTAGTGTTTTGTTAGTGCTTTATATAGATTATTGTGTTGGAATATTTACAGGAAAACATAAAATTTCTCATATCCGTAATTATTTTTCTCTTTGATTTTATTTTATTTACCAATTGTTGTGTAATGAGGAGTCATACGAGATTCATGCAAGATTTTTCATTTTTTACAAATGATAAATCAAGACAGAATTTGGTCTCAAAACATTGCATGATTTATTTTTACGATCGGGATCAAAGCTAAGATTATTAGAGATATACCAATTTATTATTTTTTAGAAAATAATTTTTTGGAAAAAAAATCATGTCAGTATTTAATAACCTTGCAGAAATAACAATTAACTATGCTATAAATTCGAATAAAATTTTTATTGTATATTCACTTGATTTCAACTTTTTATTTATATCAGATTATAAGTCAACATACTTGAACTTAAAAACTTTGCTTGCCTCAAACATTTATCTAATATTTCTTGGTAGTTTAAAAAATATATATTTTTTGATATTTGGAAAAGATAATTAATGGAGTGAGGATATGAGAGTATAAAATTTTATAGTGGTCAAAAGGTAGTCAAAAACTTTGGTGGCCTTATAATAGCCAACCCAAAATAAGAGGTAGGAATTATTTTTTTCCTTTTATCCTTTCCTAAAATTAATAAAATTGTGTGATTCACAGAGTTATTTTTTTTATATGTGATTTTTCATGAAAAATAAGCCACAGTATGCAGCTTTGAATTCCTTTATCCTCTCAAAATAAAAGAAAAATCGAACAGCAGTGAAGTGACCACGTGGCGCATTTAGGACCGATCGCTGTTTGCATGCTTTACTCCGCCGCGTACAAATACCCCCCACCGCCCACCCTCGTCTCTCTACAATTGAGATTGGCATCGAGATTAGAGGGGAAGCTTCCAGACTACGTTTAGTTCACCGCTTCTATCGTCGGAAGAGAGAGAGAGAGGGAGAGGGAGAGAGAGAGAGAGAGAGGCGAGCATTTCGTCGAGCATGTCGGACAGCGGCGTCGTGATGGTCTACGGCAACGGCGCGGCCTTGACGGAGCCGAAGAAGTCGTCCACCTTCTCCATGAAGGTGGGGCTGGCGCAGATGCTGCGTGGCGGGGTCATCATGGACGTGGTCACGCCCGGCCCGCGTTGCCGAGGAGGCGGGCGCTTGTGCCGTCATGGCGCTCGAGCGTGTCCCTGCGGACATCCGCGCCCAAGGCGGCGTCGTCCCTTGGGCGGTGCCACCGCCGGCTAGGAATTCTGGTCCGAATGGGCTGATCCATTCGACCCAATTTAGGTCTGTCAAGGGCCTAATTGCCCCCAGATTAAGTTAATGGGATCACCTCTCATTTCTAACTTAATCTATATGCTAACTATGATATTTCTTAAGACATTTACGGCAACTTGCTCCGGTGTGTCAATCGCTTCTTCCGGTGAAGCTTCCGACGAACTTCCGACGAATCTTCGGCGATGCTCCTGCGTACTTCCGACAAACTCCTAGACTTGCGACGATCCGCTTGGCAAGTTCCGACGAGCTTCTTTGGCAAGCTCTTGGACTTCTCGGATTTGTTCTCATAGAACCTCCGACGACCGTCCGGACTTCCGTCGAACTCTCGAACCCCCAATGTGATCATGGTCTTAACTCCGGCATAACTCCTACCGCATGTCTTACTTCCATCGTAGTTAATCCTGCACATGTAAATCAAACTTCGATCTAGACAATTAATACTAAGCATTAATCAAGTTGTTCGGCATGTCATTGGTCCCTCGACGCTTCGTCCGATTCTTCGGCACATCGTCCTCTCCTGCGGTCTATTGCCCAATCGGCCAGTTGACTCCGCAACTCCGATATCCTTAGCGCAATACCCGCTTTTCTTGGCCCGATGCCCGAATCCATGGCCCGAAGCCATCTGTCGATACGTCGACCAATCCACCGCCCCGACGTCCAATCTTCCGAAATGTTCCTCCGGCCCAACATGATTTTTCCTACTTTAATTGTCTCATCCTGATTGAAGCATCCTGCGTCACTCAAAATGTAGATTAAAACATCAACACAATTATCAATTGGTTTCATCATTAAAATATGATATTCAAGAATCTCCCCCTTTTTTATGATGACAACCAATTGATGACGGAGTTAAACTTCACTCCCGGAGTTTAAACAAACTCCCCCTATCAATATGCCATATTGATAGAACCTTGAATTCAAACTGAATTCAAGTCATTGCAATATTCATCATGAATACTTGCAACACGTCATCATGAATTTATGCATAAACTTATGCATAACATCATACTTCTCCCCTTTTGTCATCAACAAAAATGAGAAGTTCAACTATTCTTGTGTTTGGAATATAAGTTTAACTTATTGCATGAAAAAAATAATATCAAGTTTTATCATCATGTAGTTTTGAAGCTAGAAAATTTAGCAAGTGTTACATCATGCTTAGAACATTCAAGCTATCAATTTTTAGATATGCAAGTTTTACAACATACAAGATAGCACTTTTGCCTCTTTTGAGATAGCAACTTCTATATCATGCAAGCTAGCAAATTAGAGATGTTCAAGAAGGCAACTCCTTCTTGAAATATATAAATTTTGTCAACTTTGCTAGATGAGTAAGTTATCATGTTTTGCTTCTTGAGATAGGCAAGATAGCACTTTTGTAATTAATGTTTCTTAAGATGTTCAAGATAGCAAGCTCTACATCTTGCCGCAAGCTTGCAATGTTACAACATTTTAGAACATGCAAGCTAGCAATTTGGAGATGTTCAAGAAAGCAACTCTTGCTTCTTGAAATATGTAAGTTTGCTAGATGTGCACGTTAGCATGTTTTGCTTCTTCTTGAGATTTCAAGCTAGCAACTCTTGGTGATGTTTCAAGATAGCAATTTCTTCTCAAAATGTGTAATTTAGCACACATTGCTTCTCTTGAGATTTGCAAGCTAGCTAGCTGTAACATCCCATTAGTCCCACATCGGAAGTGGGCAATGTGTATGATTAGCTTATAAGGGCCTAATGAGTGTATTACATTAACTCCCACTTAAGTATTTTGGTCCGTGGTTGAAGGACCAAAATGGAGTTATTGGCCAGTTGGCTCATCAGACTCGGGTCGTGACACATTTGGTATCAGAGTCGACCTAGCATTTGGGTAGGGTGAGAGGGCTCGAGTAGGAAAGGGCTACCCGTGGATGGAGTCAGAGAGGCTCATCATACATTACAATAGTGTAATTCATTTCCCTTTACTATAATCTTCAAATCATGACAAGGGTTAAGTATCAATCTTATTTGTGCATCCTTATATTTTCAAATTAAAACATGCACATTTTCAAAACCTTATATTTCATTTTTTTTCATGTATGATATTAAAAATAAATCAATCATCACTGCAACTCATCATGCATATTACTAAAATGTAAAATCATCAAACATGAAACAAATATTTATTTTTATTTTTGCAAGGATCAAATCCATTTTTGCAATGATCAAGCTTCATTTTTGCAAGGATCAAGATATGTATGTGAATCAAATCCTTGCAAATGTTAAAAAAGATCTTCCTTTTTTAAAAAGGAATTTATAAGTAGGAATCATTTTATCAAATCCATTTCTCGAAAAAAATATTTTTCACACGATAAGTCTATGAGAGATGCATTTGTTAATTGATTCCATATGTCAAAAAATAATGATATGAAACAAACTCGATATGACATATGCTTATGAAAGCTACATTAAGTCCGGAAGAGAAATACTAAATCATGTTAGGATTAAGAAAATCCAAAAATGAAATTTAACACTTTCATGTATTCGGTCATGGTTTTGCTATAGATTTTCAAACACAATCATGAAGATAAAATATGCTCATCATCATGAAAATTTTTGTATCCAAAACACATAATTTCCAACATGTTCTTAAGGCATGTAATAGTATAAAATTCTCATTATAGCAATTATATCCTACCATGCATGATCAGAATTTCTCCCCATTTTATCATTGTAAACGAGAAAGAAGAAAGGAAGAACAAAATAGTGTAAAATATTTTAATCATTTCAAGGCATACAAGCCATAAATATAATCACATCATGTCATGAAAGATAAAATCACTTGAATACCAAAAGACATGATTAATTTTGACATATCTCCTCTTTAAATAAAAAATAAAAGGAATTCTTAGGAGATCATGACATAGATAAAATTCATTCAATCTTGTATGAGAACAAGATATTAATTTAAGCATATAAAATTTCTCAATTCATTATGAATCATAAAAAAAATGTGGTTCCGAAAAATCATGATTCATTTAGAAAAATTTTCTCTTTAGTACACGACAAGAAGAAATATAGCAATGATACCAATCATGATTCATTTGGATGGTAGATGGCAAAAAAAAACATTGAGGATAAAAGATCTCGATTTTTATAGAGTAAATCTCAAGTTTTAAATCTCAAAAAATCAAGATAAAGCCCATTCAAATTCAAATCATCAAATCAAAATCATTTTCAAGAGATTCATAAAAAGATAAAATAGATTCATCAAAGTCAATAAGATAGAGAAAAAGAATTAAAAAAAAAATGCTTTTCTCTATTTAGTTGTTTCATACAAACATACCTTTGTCCTTTTTGTGCCAAAAAGAATATATATCATCAATCGTTTAGGATCGAAAAATAAATTCCGTCATAAAAACCATCAATATCAATAAACCACAAAAATCATCATATATAACTTTAAAATCTCATGCATAAAATAAAATCATCAATCATGGTATTAAAATATCATTATGCATTATTAAATCATCAAGCATAATTTCATATTTTCAATCAAAAATCATTTTGTTTGTTTATCATAAGATATGCATTTTTCATGATTATTTTCAAAATCATCGGAAAGGTAAGCATGATAAGCATAATCCTAATTCATTAGCATTTTCATTATATTATTTAAACTTACAATTTTCAAGAAAATTAATTTTATACTAAAAAAGAAAATGCATTATGGAAAGCATCATGTAATTTCAAAATAAATTAAGGGGGTTTTGATTACCTCATCGTTGAATGTCGTTAAGGCGTAGTTTGTCACCTCGCCTTTCTTGATTTTCTCCTCGTCTTTTGGAGGAGCTCGATTCATCCCACTTTGTGTTCTTCTTCTTGCGTTCAAAGCAAGTAGTTCCATTCTTTTTGTTCTTAAATTTTTGTTTCTTTAATTTTTTAAATTTCTTAGTGAGTAGTTCTTGTTCACCATCACTGGAGCTTATGCTCGAGTGGTCTTCAAATGTTCTATGTCCCAAATCCTTCCTGTTCTTTGGAAGGTGATTTTGTTCATCATGTTCATCATGTGCATTGTGCACCATTTCATATGTCATCAATGAACCGATAAGTTCTTCAAGTGGAAAAATATTTAAATCTTTTGTTTCTTGTATTGGCGTTACTTTTGATTCCCAAGCTTTAGAAAGTGATCGTAAAACTTTACTAACAAGTTTAAAATTCGAGAAACATTTGCCAAGAGCTTTTAAACCATTGGCGATATCCATAAAACAAGTGTACATGTCAACAATGGTTTCGCTCGGCTTCATTCGAAAAAGCTCAAAATCATGTATTAAAAAGTTGATTTTCGAATCTTTAACTCTAGAAGTGCCTTCGTGTGTGATTTCAAGAGTGTGCCATATGTCGAAAGTCGTTTTGCACAAAGAAACCCGATTTAATTCATTTTTATCTAAGGCGCAAAACAAGGCATTCATAGCCTTTGCATTTAGAGAAAACGTCTTCTTCTCCAAATCATTCCAATGGTTCATTGAAAGAGCAGACATTTTAAATCCGTTTTCAACTATATGCCATAAACCATGATTCAATGAAAGCAGGAAAACTCTCATTCGAGTTTTCCAATAAGTGTAGTCTGTCCCATTGAAGAAGGGAGGACGAATGAGAGAGTGACCCTCTTGATTGTCGAAAAGAGTCATTTCTCTTGGGTGTTAATCCAAGTGAGAAATAACGAGGCTCTGATACCAATTGTTAGGATCAAGAGCACTAAGAGGGGGGGGGGGTGTGAATTAGTGCAACGGAAATTTTTCGACGATTAAAACTGCATTCGTACGTTGAAATCCGATTTCGACGTAAAAGTCGTTTCGTGCATATAATAACTTTGAAAGCTTACGGAAACGTATTTAAAGTAAAGTAAGGAAGGTAGTTTGCAATTAAGATAAATAGCACAAAGGAAATGCAAACCAGATTTTAGAGTAGTTTGGTCAAACGTGACCTACATCCACTTTCGGCTTCCTCCTCCGACGTCACCGGCGTC